TCGTATTTCAGTCTCTTTCCTTTCCCAAAGCAGGCGGTTAAGCTATGAGCCTTCCTGCTTTGGCCTAGCCACAGGTTTGTGTTATTCTATTAACAGAGATTTTAGTTCGAAATAATTCCTAATTTTTATTTTTTCTGAGACCATGCATTATTTGGAAGTATATTTTGGAGAGTTTTCCTCAAAAGTGTAGTTTTCAAAGATAAAGGTGTGGCCTCCCTGGGGCGCAAGGCTAAGTCTCAGCACCATGAAGCCGTCTGAGCTGCTGCAGCCTGAGTCCGACCCCCGGCCGGGGAGGGACCCCGGGGCGCAGCAGACCCCTCCTGTCTCCCCGCTGCCCCCCTCAGCAGTGTGTCTCAGTGGATCCGCCTGTTCCGCTCCCCGCTCTGTCTCTGGGGAGCCCTCTCGCCCCAGACCTCCTTTTGTATGCATAAATAAATGGATACTTTTAAAAAGCCAACAAAACAAAGTTACAGGAGTTCTCCCAATTATATTCTTGTCATACGTGATTTTTAGAGAACATTTTCTGATTGAATTTGATACTTTGAACTTTGTTAGAATTTGCATTTTGGCCTAGTAGACACTTAGATATTAAAATGGCTCGTATCCTCTTGAAGTAAGGATTCTTTCTTTGCTGGGGCCACAGTTCCACACGTGTCCACCAAGTCATGTCTGCTGATTATTCCACAGTGTTATTGGTTCCTTGTGTACCTGTTCGCTAACTACTAAGAAATGCCTGTCATGATCTCTCCATGGGCACGAAACATGTTTCCCCATCGCTTCTGTCCACGTCTGCTCTATATGCTTGTTATCAGGAGCAGAAAAATCACAACACTCCTTTGCCACTACAGAGGGATGCTCTTTCTCAGCGTCGTGATGCCTTTGAACCCCAGGAGGGCGTGTTCTCCGGCTCAGCTGCTACCACACGGCCATGCAGTGCTGCAAGCTTTCCATCGCCCTCTCTCAGGCGTCTTCACGCTAGGCGTAGCTGTCTCTTGCCCTTGGCATAGGCGAGGCTCCTCTTCGGCCAGTCCGTAGCTTGGTCTTCTCTCCGGCGCCCTGACCCGTCACCTTCCCTGTGCTGTGGGTCGTGCCGCCTTGCAGCGACCGTCTGCTCACCCGGCTCCTGTTCGTGCCGTTATCTCTTCACGGCTTTGGCGTCATCTGGCCGAGCAATCAAACTTTCACTTTGTTCCTCATTAATTTGCCAGTACTTGCTTTGTGTCCACTCTTACTACTCTAGGAAATTACTCTAGAAATTCCAATATACAACCTGACTTCTCACATTTTGCAAGAGCGATCACTTCTGCTTTCCTCCTAAAAATTCACGGAATTACGGCAAGTATACTTTTCTCAGATGTTTCTATTGTTTCGAATTTTCATCCTCTCTGTATTATACACCCAACAGGACAGTCTATAGGAGCGGCGTTCCCGGGATTTGTACTCACACCTGGCAGGTTGTCCGTCATTCCCGTATCCTGCGTCCACCTCCCCTCTGGCCGAGTCTTTCTTCTGCCTGCAGAACACCCAGAATCCCCTTAGCTAAAGAGTCTCCTCACTGGTAGAAGTCCAGGTGGGCAAGCTGGCTGTTGCGCTGTCCGGTTTCCTTCCAACACACTAGACTCATAACTCGGCTGCTTGGGCTTCTGCCATTTGCTGAATTCAGCAAAATTTGCTCTTTCAAAAGTCAACAGACAAAACAGACATGTTTTCCTTCAATCACTTGTGAGGTTTCCATAGTAGAAGTGGATTTCTTTTTTATCCTCCTTGGTTCCTTGAATTGGTAGATTGGAAAAGCCTCACTGATTTATTCAAACATAGTCTGCCTCTTTTTTATCTCCTCTATACCTGAAACTCAGGATTAGCTGTTCTTTCTGTATCACTTCTGTCTTGTCTATTCTTTTTTAAAGATTTTATTTACGTGTGCGTGCAAGAACTGGGGTACAGGCCAGAGGTGTGGGACATGAGAGGATTGACCAGAAACAGTGTGGGGAGCAGGACAGATGAATCTGTTCCAGGGCACCCCAAGGTGAGTTGGGTTGCCCGTCTGCGGGTCTTCACCCGCGCGCTCACGATTCAGTCGTACTATGGACACACTCAAAAGGGTTAAATAATGGATTTATTTATAAGGAGAAAGGTAAAGGAGTAGCCCAGGGAAATACAAGGTAACTAGAATGTCCTACCGGTTCTGCTGACCTGGACGCCACCGGCACGCTGCAGACCCATCGAGAGCCAGACGACCAGCCGCGACCACCAGGCCCAGAGCCCCCAGAGCCCACAAGTCCGGTTTTACCCCAACCGGGCTGCTCAGCTCCGCCCTCACGTCCCAGCGAGCTTCTCCTGGGTCCTGATGGGATTTGGAGTTCCAGCGTCTGGAGCGGGGGCGGGGCCCGTGAGACCTGCACTTGACAAATCTACTGAAACCCAGTGCTGAGGGGAGCAGCGGGAGACAGGAGAGGTCTGCAGCTCCCTGGGGGTCACTCCCTAGCCGGGGATCGAACTCGTGCTTCAGGGGCTGCAGACAGCTTCACAGTGCTGCGCTTTAACCCATTGCGCCACCAGAGAGGGCCCCTCAATTTTTTAAAGGCAACTACTTCTTGTGTGCTTACTGCAAGGAGGTCACTATTTTAGAGACATAAAGTATTCAAAGATCTTTAAACAAGAACACTCTGCTCCCGGGGAGCTTGGGGCCCCCTGGGAATGCACCCCTGTGTGTGTTTACCAGCCGGAGGTCAGAGCGTTTAGTGACAGTTAATGAATACGCAGCGACCCGGGCCTCCAGGCTCCAGGAAGTCGCCTCAGAGGACGAGGCTGCCAAGCTGCGCTGCAGATTGGGGTGCTCATCCCAGGGGCCATTTCGCCCAGCCCCTGCACACTTTGGGTGCCTCACGGCGGAGTCTGTTCTTCTACTGTCATCAGAGTGGTCCTTTTCATCACCCTGCTGGCCCAGGTCAGTCACGCACAGACTGGGTGGAGGAGGCCCACCCCAGGCTGAGAGGGGCCTCTCTGACCCCGAAGTCCTTCTGGGGTGGCTCTCAGAGCTCACAATCCACACGCCCAGCTCAGGGCTGTCAGCAGGTTCACAGACCCATGCATCCCTCACCACAGTCAACTTCAGGGCACTTCTGTCACCCCAAAGGAAGCACCACGCCCCTAACTCATCACTTCCCTAATCTGTCCCTTAACCTGTACCAAATCGAGGTAGCTACTAGTCTGGTTTCCATCTTTGCCTCTTCTTTCTGGCATTTCATACAAATGCAAACATTTGAGAAGAGGCCCTTTACCTGGGCTGTAGTGGGTAGTACAGGCTGTAGTACGTGCCTGTAGTTCATCCATTTTCAGGGCTGAATAATATTCCACCGCGCAGACAAACCATGTCCTGTTTCTCCATGCGCCAGCTTGCAGACGGTGGAGTTGTTCCCCCGTTGGGCTGCTCAACACCGCACACTAAACATTCACATGCGTGTCTTTGCGTGGATGTGAGTTTCCATTGCTTCTGGGTGTGCACTTAGGGCCGGAATTGCTGAGTCAGTAGAAACGCTGCTTAACTGAAGACACGTGGTCTGTTTTTATAGCCATTGCACCAATTACAGCTCACCAGAAGTGTGTGAGGGTTCCAGTTTCTCCACATTTCTTTCGCCATTCTCTCCAACGCTTGCTATTACCTGTGTTTTTATCAGGGCCTTCCTGTTGGGTGGGAGTGGATGACTCTAATGACAGTCCCTGCTGACCACTAATGCCCCATGGTGTAGCTGCCTGGAAGAGCAACTGCTCCACCCTCCCTCTCCCCGCTCCCTCCCTCCTCC